GACCACCCTAATCTAGTACAAAAATGCTCAATAAATCCTCGAGTGTTTGAATACTCCTCTCGGATTGCCTGTCTGTTTAAACATGAAAAGCCGTACTTAAATGCACACTCATGCCCATCTCCTTCTGGAAAGCCCTCTAGAATATTAAAGTGAACTTTCAATCCTAGTCTAACACAATACTAGCTGGAACCCCATGAAGCGTCACTATCTCTTGCACATACTTCTTAGCCACATGTTAGTAGGTTTTTACCCTACAAGGTTCAGCTGACCTAACCAATTGTAGTACTTGTGGTCTATCGATCCAACGGGATGTCGTTGTAAGCAAACATAATGTAATCATCAATCGACATGTTAAGCCAAATATGAAACATGCTTAGAACTATAAATTTAATGAATCTAACTAAGGAAGATATTAAGCAAGCAGTAATAGGAAATTAAGAACTTGGAATGAAAGCTAAACATGCAAGAATTACATAACGAGAAACAAAGCAAAAATGAAGTATGTAAACAATGCAAAGAAGTAAGTTCTCAAGGATGGGAAAATTGATTATAGTGGAGTCTCTTAGTTCACTAGATTTCCTAATAACACTCAATCAAGCTATTTCCTAGACAATGAACTATCAAATCTAAACCACTTCCTAATATCAAATCTTCTTGATGAAACATGCAATAAATTAACATGCATTAAGAATTAGATCATTATCGTCAATAAACACTCTAGTCCACCAATCTATTGGGCCTAGACATATAAATCCCTTGCATTAATGGATCATACATTTCATCGAACACCTCTCAAGCGTGAAAGACTACAATCTAATTCAAAATGATCTGTAAGGAATTAACATTATGTATGCTAATCTACAAGGGAAATTAAGCAATTAAACACTAAGGAAAACTAGCTAGCTAAGAATTTTAGCCTAGATCTAACCCATCCACGAGACCCTAGTTCACTACTCCAACCTAGAAAACATCATCAAGATAACTGATACTAGGATTTTTCTATCAATTACCCTAGAGTACATTCATGTCATTGTAGTAAATATGTATTAATCCAATTAGGTGTGATGCTAGCAATCAAGATGTTATTAGAAATGATTAAGTCAAGCCAAGCATAAAAGGGTGTTGTTTTCTACCAACCTAGGTGAACACATTGGACATGTAATAAAACTAAAGCTGCAAAACATAGACTATCATACATAAACAAAAAATGTAATAACTATTATTACTAGCAATTGAACAGAACATGCACATAAGAGTTACGTAAACAGAGAACACAAATTGAATATATGATCCTGATGATGAAGTTATTGATCTAGGTGGAATATGCTAATTTACTTAAGGTGTTTAATAAATTGCAAACTAATCTCTAGAAAATGAATTTCTAATACTAGTTAATCTAATCTCTTGGCAAAACCTATCAAGTTTAAGGCATTTCCTAATCTTAAATCTCTTTGATGAAACATGCAATAAAGAGGCAATAAAAACAGCTCATTCATGTCAATAGACTTCTTAAACATCTAATCTTGGCTAAGCAAGAATATATGGTATTAGTGGTTCATACATTTCATCAAACACTTGGTAGGTGCTGAAGTGTCTGGGGTCTAATTCCATTGTATGTAGATTGAGTGACAAGTGATTATGCTCTGCTACTCGATGGCCACTCGAGTGTCACACCTAACGGTAGAGTAAAGTGTTCATTTCTGCTCTGCACTCCCACTACACTCGGTCGTCTTACTCGATGGTTGTCGATCGAGTGACATGCCTTCTCAGCTCGCGAATCTCCTAAGTACCTGAAAAAGCTCCAGTATGCAGAATACATGCAAAACATCTGCAAAATCTATCTATGTGTGCAAAACATGCAAAATAAACTAAGAATGATGCGAATCAACGAGTGAACAAAGTTAAATAGATGATAAATGCACGCTTGAAAGTGGTAAAATATAGGCATATCAAACAAAAACCCATAAATTCTAAACCAAGGATTGCTAGAAAGGAATGAAATTGGAAGTCAATCTTAGGCTCTTATAACCAATGAATGAAATTAGATCACAAAATGTTTCAATTAAGGATATAGTAACCAGGGCATTGATCATTATCTAATGAATCTAGCAAGCTAACATGTTTAATTCATCATCACACCCTACGCTAAATGCAACACCTCTACATGAAAAAATCTAGACTCAATCCTAATATGCAATGCAAACGACATGATAAATCTGTTTCTAAAGATTTTTCTGAATATTTTTTTAATTTTATAGGGTTTTCAATGCACACAAATGTATGCAAACTATATGCTAAAAAATTCGAAATAAGAAAAAAAAACACAAGGACAAATGCTATCCCAAACCCTCCACCAAACTTAAATTACATAGTCCCTTGTGTAACAGAATAATGAATGGTGATTTGAGAATCAAAAACAATGGAAACATGAAATGAAATGCAATGGTATATACAAGGTGAAGGATAATGGTGTTACCTCAAGGATAGAAGAAATAAGAACTCACAATCTAGTTCATTCCGTCAAGTGTGTACTCTTGGAGGTTCTCATCATCTATGGTGCAGTACATTATTCAACTTGCTCCCTTGACTTTGTATTCGGTTGTGTACTCGGTCAGTTGTTTGGATGCTTGGTTGGATTACTGATTGCAATGCTGCTCGAGCTCCTAATCGGATATGTGTTCTACCTATGGTTAAGACCGATATCTTGATGCACTCAATCGAATTTAAGATTTTTTCTTCACCGGATTCACTACATTGTTCTTTTCTCAAATTGAAATGAGTTCTTGAAACAAAACTAACTAGCTAAAACACATGAAATGAAATTTAAAACGGTATTTACAAGGATACCTCTAGGACTTCCTCCTAGGTAAGCTTCCCATGAAAGAGCTTAAACCTTGAATTGAACAAAAGAACTTGCTATCCATCCTTGAACTATTTTACCTTGACGCTCTTGTCATGAAATGCCTTTGTTCTCACCTTATAGATCTTTGAGCTCTAATAAGCTTCAAGTCTTGTCTCCTCCAGCTCATATAGATCTAGGACCCTTTTTTCCTGAGATATTGTGATGTCAAAAGTAGTTTTGAAGCCACTAGAGCCTTATTTTCAACCTCCACCAGAAGGTGTCAAGCTTTCTCATACAGCATTTGGAAAGGAGTCCTACACACAGGTGTCTTAAAAGCAGTTTGATATACCCATATAACATCACATAAACTTGTATCCCAATCTCTTCTTGAGATTTCCACTACTCTAGCCAAGATGGCCTTCATCTACTTGTTCGAGACTTTGACTTGCCGCTGGTTTGAAAATGATAAACGGTGGCGATTTTGTGTTTCACTCCATGTTTTCTCAATAGGCTTTCGCATATTTTGTTGATAAAATTAGATCCTCCACCACTAATCAAAATCCTCGGAACCTTCGGAAGATGATGCTCTTAAATAGCTTAAGCACCACCTTATGGTCATTGGTCAGACGGGCACGAGCTATTATATTACTTCTACCCATTTAGATACATAATCAACAGCTACAAGTATGTAAATGTTCCCATTGGAAGGAGGGTTCAATGGCCCCATAAATTCTATTTCCCAAACATCAAATACTTCAACCTCTAAGATGGGGTTATGTGGCATGTCATTCCTTTTGGTAATATGTCCCATTATTTGGCAAGCATCGCAGTATTCTTTGGCAAACATCGAATTTATTGATGAATGATTCAGAGGCTTTAAATATAGTTGCCCACCAGAGCCCAACTTGAGCCTTGAAGAACCGTCTGAACTGTCTTGAATGTGGCAAAATGACCTCCATAGGTTGAACCATGGCAGTGCTCAAGTACCATATTCACTTTTTCCTCGACGATACATCTTCTAAACAACCCATCTAAGCCTTTTTGTAAAGCTAGGATTCATCCTAAAAATAATGATTCATATCCGTAAACAATTTCTTATTTTGGTATGAGTCTAGGTCTTGCGGAATTATCCCTCTGACTTTATAATTGTATATATCCCTCAGACGTCCAGCTTCTGGACGGGGAAGCTTACTTCATCTGAATCTAATTGTCAATCACTTAATTACGTGTATGTTGTCACGTGAATATATAAGTTATATAATTATAATTAATAATTTAGAAATATTATATATAATATAAATATAGATAAAACAATTTTAATATAAAAATAATAATATGGGATATTAGTTTTTGGTAGATATTTTATATAAATTTTCATTATCATTCTATAAAATAATATAAATATATTTTAATTATTTTAAGAAAAACATTAGTCATTTTTTTGCTTCATAGTTCGTGAGAATTAAAACATCTTTTGTAATAACATTTATGTTGGAACATGAATATTTATTAAAAATTACTATCAAACTTAAAATAGCATTCAAATAAACATAGTAATGCTAACAAGGTTAGAATGAAAAAAAAATTCATCATTGGAAATGCAACTTGTTAAATTCAGGAAAGAATGTAAATTTCAAACCATCATATTTTAAAATATAACTTACTAGTCAACAAAAGTAAATTACATCCCTAAATAAATTATTCTTAGTCATAGTGGGCCATAAATAACCCGCCAAATCTGAAGTTAACTAAATAAGATAATATATTTACTTTGAATAAAGTAAATTTAATTTGTTACCTTTTTTAATTACTTCAACAAATATAAAAGGAGGTACAGCCATATGGTGTAATATAGATGTAAATTTTCAATATGTCTTACAATCCAAATATGTTCAGTATCTATGGTGATGATTTCATAAACCATAGTCAATTGGTTTCCAATGAAATGAATCAAAACTCCATAACGGTTCGATCATTGTTCACAACACCTGATCACATGAACTATTCAAATTTTTTTGCTTCTTCTCCATCATTTTCTCCTTTCCAAAATTCACAGAACTCATCATCTTCTTTTCCATTTAACTTTGGTTCTGTTTCTGGTGCGGAATATTTTCCTAATGATAGTGTCCAGTACGAAATAGAACGTGTCAATCGTGCCATGGATTCTAACCCTAATACTTGGATTCCGGTATTTCTTCCTCCAAATATTCTTAGTCATCAAAATACAATTTTAAATGCGACACCTATTAGTGTCGTTTATCCGGACCAAGATCATGCTGCTCGTTATTCTGTTGCTCGTCATTATTCTGATGCTCGTCATTATTCTGTTGCTCCTCATCATTTTGGTGCTTCTAATCATTTGGTTGCTCCTCATCATTCTGCTGTTCCTCACCATTTTGATGCTCTGCATCCTTCTGCTGCCCCTCATCACTCTGCTGCTCTGCATATTTCTGCTCCTCCTCATCATTCTGCTATTTCGCATCATTCTAACCCCAATACTTGGACTCCAGCATTTATTCCTCCAAATATTTTTGGTAATCAACACACAATTTTGAATCCGACTCCTATTCGTGTCATGTATCCTGACCAAGATCTTGTTGCTCATCATTATTCTGCTGCTCCTCATCATTCTGCTACTACTCATCATCTTGTTGCTCCTGATCATTTCACTGCTCCTAATCATTTTGATGCTCCTCATCATTCTGATACGATTTCTGTGTTATCAACAGGTAAGCATGTTTCTCAAGATAGTCTACTTTTGGGAAATTTTTCAAACTAACCAATATTTTTGTTTCAGAAGACGATGATGAAAGTGATGATGGTCGTACACATAGTATACCATGTGAAAAAAATGGTCCATATACATGTCCTAAATGCAATTGTGTGTTTAATACTTCTCAAAAATTTGCTGCACATATGTTATCTCACTACAAGAGTGAGACAAACGAAGAAAAAGATCGGAGACTTCGTGCAAGAAACAGAAAAAAATATCGTAAGTTCATGGCGAGTCTCAGAAGGCCAAAAGAGAAGATGGAATTGGTAGCTATAGAATAAAAATCTAATAATGCTTCCAACACCTCTTGGTCGTGAAAATGCAAAATTTTCTTCTATTTATAGTATTTCATCTTATTTTGTGTTACTAAAACTTTCAGTAGAAATTGTAATCTCAATTTGCACTTTTAAATTCTAAGTTTGGGTACTTTTTTAATAAAGTACTTTCTGAAAACTCAATTAATTATTTGCACCCACAATTATGCATGTTAAACGAATTCAGTTAGTATAAATGCTTTTAATGTTTTTAAGCAGATAATGTAGAATCTTTCATTAATAATTATGTAACAGTTAGTATAATTTTATATCGGAAAACTAACAAATATGTCATATTATCTTTTGGTAAGATTTTTTCCTTTTTAATAAGAACATTGTTCATCCTACCAAAAAAAAAAAATAAGAACATTGTTCATTGTCTTGTTCACCTATTAAGGTTATGCAGTTTTAAATCTGTAGCCATTGAAATCAAGTACTTTTTTTAGAACCTCAAATTTCTCATGGATGATAAAGCATCTTTTTTTGTATGAATGTTAAATTATATTCATCAAAAAAACTGTTTTACATAGAATGCGTCAATCATTCAAAGTTTAACGATAGAGCATCATGGACATGTTCTTTTATTTTTGGGGGTTTTGATTTTAAAGGATGTTTTTTTAAAAATTTGTCCTTTTAGGCTTTCTGCGGTGAATTGTCAGTTATACCTAAATTATCCTTTTAAATAAATAAAATTAATTTTTAATTAATTTTTAAATTAAAACATATCAACAATTAAAGATTAATAAGATTTAAGGTTAAACAAAAGAGTTTTGGATGAAAGTATGTTGATTTTGATATTGAAAAAAATCATTCTGCAATATTTAGAATACATCTTTTGTATTCTAAATATTTTAGATTATGAATTCTGCACACTCTACATGTTCTAAAAATTGTAGATTACAAATTCTTCGCATTGCACTTATTCTGAAAATTTTAGAATATATATATCTTCTAAAAAAATTAGAACTCAGGTTTGGTTGGTGTTCTACAAAATTTGGAATATGTATTCTACATGTTACTCTATATTCTACAAATTTTAGAATTTATTTTCTACACTTTACCCTATATTCTACAAAAGTTAGATCATCAATTCTACACTTTACTCTTTGTTCTTCATATTTTAGAAAATGTATTCTACGAATTTTTAGAACTATCTTATACAAGGAAATTGAATCCTAAATTAAAGGAAACAAAATATTTTGTATTCCCTAATATCTAGAAATCATATATTTTTATTTTGAGTGAACGTGAGGTGTATATACAGTCCTTGAGTTTGACCAAAAATTAAAAACTAACAATATCAAAGAGCTAGTCACAAACGATCTTCCTAGTTTAGGTTTGATAATCACGAACAAATGAAGTTTTTTTTTTTTCAGAAAATTTTGACATCGTCGAGTCTATCTTTGGTTTTTTTTACCTTTTTACAATATTAAATGAGAAGAGTTTTTTTTAAAAGGAAAAAATAATATATGTTTTTGATTTTTTTAGATTTAAAAATATCTTTTTTTTCTTACAGAAATTTTCCTAGTTTGATGTTTTTTTTTTTTTGTCAAAAAGTTTGATGTTTATTTCCATATAATCTAAGTAAGGATATAATTGAACATTTTCTTATTCTAAAACCTAATATACCAAACTTAAAAAAAGAAGGCATAGATGGACAAATTTTTAAAAAAACATCCTTTAAAATCAATTTTCCCTTTATTTTTGACAATAACGATACTATGTGTTTAAATACTTAGACACACAAAAAGAGAAAGTTTGTGTCTTTCTACACATGTGTACACAAAAAGAGAGAAACCAAAACCAAAAAACAAATACGAGAACACATGTGTACATCAACGTTTGTTAAATCAAAATATTAGATATATATGTTTTAAGTAGATTTGGTTATAGATTTAGAATTACATAAAATGTAATTGTTTTTTAAGATTATATAATTTTTGAAAATTAAATGATGTGTTGTATATTTCTCCACATTTTATGCTATGTACAATTTTATTAGTCGTTTATTCCTAATCTAACATAATTATTTTTCTTTTTATTTTTCATAAAATATCATATTTAATTTTCTAATATAATTATTTTTCTTTTGTAATTTTCATAAAATATCATACAAAATACATATAGCTAAAATTAAATATATTTAGATATCTTCAATTTCGAATTTAATAATTCATTTTTTATGGTAACCAAATCAATATTATTTCCATAAATATAGTAGATAGTTTTTATTTTTTATTTATTCAAATTTTTTTTTTTTGCTGTCTTTAAATGTGTTTGGCTACAGGATTGACATCACATTTTATTTCATTATTTTTATTTAATCTTGTTTGGCAACACTTGCCCTTTTAATAGTGTTGCCCTTTTAATAGTATAGATATATATCCATACATATTATATAGAATCTAGTGTTTTACTGTGATACAAGGAAAATAAGTCATTGTAAATCAAGCTCAAATTAACCTTATCATCCTTTTAAGATAATGTTAAGATTCTATATATTACAAATTGAGATTTATGGAGTTGAAAGCCAACGAACATTTTCTTAAATAATTAAATAATAATTTTAAAAAAGAAATGAACTTCGTCCATTTTTTCTTATGTTCAGAATTAAAGAATTATGAGAAAAAAAAAAGCTATGATACTTTCGTTGAATTATTGGTAAAGCAAAGAGAAGGGTTATGATGATTAATTAGTTGTTTTGTGTAGATTAATAAGTTTGATAAAGACATCAATCTCACAAGCAATCCTCAAAGCTCCTTCGTACGAGTGTCCGAACTCTTCCTCAGACAACCTTAATAGTTCCTCAAACATTGGGTGGTTTAGCAAATTAGCCTCAACCTCTAGCTTACATTGACTCTCTTCATCTTTACCTACATGAACCCGAACTCTTCCTTCTTCTGGTAATGCCGATGTTCTTGAAGAAGCATAGTTCTTGGCTCCTCCACACCATAGTAGCTTCTTCAACACGCTTCTCATTCTCTCTTCTGACCAGACTTGGGGTTTTTTTTTTGTTTTCTCTCCTTTCTTAGAAGTTGCTTATGTGTGTTTTGTGTTTTGTGTTTTGTAAGATAGATGACAACATTGTGGTTGGGTTTACGTAGTGGACAAGAAAATAAGGAGAAAGGTCGAACGTTTTTATGATGAAGCTGCGGAGAATCAGATCGTTTTGTCGCACCGACTCTAATTTTTTACTCGGCTTGTAGCTGAACAAGCTAAACCAAAACAGTGGTTTAGTTTGACATATACTTATATAATATATTTATTTAAAAGTCTCATTCCAATTTTTATGTCTGAGATTATATTGGATCAACGAAAACAAACAGAAAAAGAAAGAGTTCGTCCTAATCTGGCCGCCGAAATCTTGAGCCGCTGCAGAAGCTCCGGTATCCATTTCTGGCGTATACGAGGCAGCCTGCTTTGTTGTCGGACTGTCCAAGACCTACTCATGAAAACATAGTATAAGAGTCTCTCTCCGAATCGTTTCAAGAGTTAACATATACATACTATATACTAATTTTAAGTACTCAAACCATGACACAATAGAAAAATACAAAAAAAAAAATACTTTAGAGTAAAGAGACTATGTTAAAGTAAAGAAAACAATTTTATGCAAACAAGTTTTAATTCCCAATTTGATCAACTGTGAAATTTGGTTAACCGGGTCAAACCAGTGTTCTTGAGCCGAACCGAGCCGAGCTGAGAATAATATGAAGAGTAGCCAGCGATTTGGCAGATAGGAATGGAAGTGAGTCGACGTGGTTCGTTCTTTAATAATATTATCATTTTGATTTAGCATTCTTTAAAATGGGTTTTTATTTATTTTGTTAAAGAGAATGGGTTTTTATTTATTCTATTATACACTATCATCCCAACTTGTTCGGAAATTTTTACAATATATTATTTAATCATAGCTGGATTATTATATTTATTTGTTTTACTATATCTTATATCATAATGATTGCACCGTGTTATACCATGAATTGATTTTATACTTAGCAAAATAATTCGATATTGCTATATCTTATATCATTATTGATTGCACCATGTTTTGTTTCGAAAATTTTGTTTTAGTCGTAGAGAAACTAGGTATTGTAGATTTTTTTCTTTATAAAAAGACTATACATATTAAACCCTATATATATACAGTATATATTTTAGAAATTAAGATGATACCATTTTCGTGATAGAATTCTCTTACATAAATAAATATGAGTAAATATGTTTTTATGAATAAATAATATGTTTTATGTATTATAATGAATAAATATATTTTTTTAATTACTCTGTGAGCCATAGACAACGCAAATTATAACTTGCATGTCTTCCTCTGTTATTGTTGACGTTTATTTTTTTTGTCGCTGAACATAATCGCATCGATTACAAAACAAAAAAAAACACAGCCATATATGTAATTTTATTTTACTCAAGATTTATGTGTTTTTAATTCTCGTATTTCAGTTTTCAATTCCTTAAAAAAGAAAAGTAATCTATATTACTTGAAAAGTACTAAATTGATCATATTTCTGATTATATCCTCTTTGTATGTTCTTTCTTTTATCTCTCTCGGTTTAACATTGAAAAATTGACTAAAAAGCTAAATATATTATAAAATATATGTATGCTATGTTTGAACTCTAAAACCCCAAAATGTAGAATGATATGTTAAGATTTAAACACAAAACAATATCTAAATGTTTATGAAGAAAATAAGAGTTACAAAGAAGACGCAAAGCTAGACTCGGAGCTTCTGATTCGTCTCCCCTTCCCATATCTATGAAAAAGAATGCGGAGTGTTTGAAGAAGATGCTTGATACGTTAAGTCAACGTAGAACCGCGTCTTAGGCTTCGAATGGAGAAAGCGTATCAAGCAGAGCAGATCAGGCGTATTAGATAGGTTTAGTAGAACAAAAGTGGATCGAGCATATCTGGCAGTTTAAGTGGATATCATATATTACACTTTAAAATATAGGTGTTTGTTCTGCTCTGCTTTATCTGTTAAAATCATGATTATAAAATAAAAATATTTTTTTATCCTATTTGCAGAATTTTGACGGGAGAACTGGCATAATCAATGTTCAAAAAATCGCTAAGCGGTAGCTAGACGCTATATAGGGGCCTAGCGCCTAAGCGGATTAGTCGGGGACTAAGCGGGGACTAGGCAAATTATTTATATATTTTAGCATTTTTAAAATATATAATTATGTGACATACTCAAAAATCTTGTTTTGATGGTGAAATGCCTTCTCTCCAATCTAACTCTCATAGGTTTATTTATAAATAATTTTGAAGGTAGAAAATAAATGAAAGAAACCTAAAAACATCTTATTCTAAATCTGGAAAAAATGACAGAAGTTGAAACTTGATTAAATATATAAATAAATAGTCATAATTGATTAAAACATAAATTAAGAACAAAGGCTGGGAAGGATCATAACTGTGAGAGATGAGGGGAGTTGACTATGTCTTGGTATTAGGTATTAGTGTCGCCGCCGTTTAGAAGAAACATAGAGAAGCAAGGGTGCAAGACCAAACATAGTTGTGTGATTCGTAAAAATATTGTCTTTTGTGTTATAGTTTCTTATTTAAACTTAAACGTGCTCGTATTCATATATTTACCAGGGAAATAATAAAATAAATCAAGTGCTAAACCAGAAATTAGGGCGCCTAAACCGATTTTGGCCGAAATAGACCGCCTGGACTAGATGTCCGATTTGTTTTTGCCGATTATGAGAAAATTGTTTCGGCTGGGTTAATATGAGCGCCTAGTCCTCCGCCTAGGCGGCGCCTAGAGCGATTTTTTGAACACTGGCCATAATAAATGATAATTATTTATTTTTATGAATGAAAGGTAAAGTGCAGTACATCTGTCCCACTAAATGAACTACTTTATTTTTGTCCTTCCATTCAAACCCTTACGCGGACAATGTTATTTTGTCCTTCTTCTTTTTTTTTTTCTTTCTAAATTCTTTTGAAAAATCCTATTATTTTTTTTTTGTATGAAAAATCCTATTATAATTTACAATTATTATTTGTCCAAAAAAATTTAACAATTATTATTTGTCCAAAAAAAAAAGAAAAATTTACAATTATTATACCGCTTCTTATATATATATATATATATATATCTGACAATAATAAGTTACGAGTCTGAAATTTCGAAACCCTAGCCGTCGTAGTCGTAGTCGAATTCAAGATCCAACGAATCCTTCTTATCTCTAAGGGCTTTACAAGAGTCGTCTCGTGAATGATGAAGAAGGCTACGCAGGAATCGGCTGTAGCTGTAACAAACGTCTTTTGGGACATCAATATGTGTCCAGTTCCCGAAGGCTATGATCCTCGTCTGGTCCGTCCGTCTCTTGAACGACTTTTGGAGAAGAATGGCTACCATGGTCCTCTCACCGTCACTGCCTTTGGCAAACTAGCGGACGTCCCTATTGACATGCTGAGAGGAGTCTTTTCCAGTGGAATCAATCTTCTCCTCGTCTTCAACGGTACCTCAGACATATGGGATATAATTGATACCGATGAAAATCCATCTCCAGCTAATTTTATGGTCATATCTGATCCAAAGGTCTGCCCTGATATAACTGGCATTCTACTACTTACTAAGTACAACCCTCTCCAGCTGTTTCCATATGATTCTATTGAAACCTTACTTGCGGAAGGGGCTATTGTGGCGGAAACGGCTGTCCCTGTCTTGTGGGACTGCTTAGTATGCTGCCGTGATCCTCCTGGCCGAAGCTTTCGTACTTTCGAAGAACATCTATCTAGTGAAGAACACCATGAACTGCTGCTGCTTGAGAGTCAGTATTGTCCTAGTGAGCCTCCTGTGCCACCGGTGCATAATCTGACTAGACCTGTTAAAGTACCCTTACTTGAAAGCAAAAGTGGGTCTTGTATGATAGAGGACTGGGACTCGTTAAAGTCTAAGGGCAATACAATTGTCTTTTGGGACATCAATTCGTGTCCGGTTCCCCCTGACTATGATGCTAGTATGGTTGGTCCGTGCATCAAACTGTTCTTGAAGAAAGCTGGCTACTCTGGTCCTCTCTCCATCATTGCCGTTGGAGTATTAACAGTCGTTCCTTATATCTTCCTGAGCAAAGTGTTTTCCAGCGGAATCACTCTTCATAATGTCCCTTACGGTCCCTCAGACATTTTGGATTTTGTTTACTACATTTCTTGTCAGAATGGACCTCCACTTAACATAATGGTCATATCCAATTCCAAAATCTTCGTTTGTCTGCCTGACTATGTAAAATTAAGCATCAACCTTGTGGAGCCATTTCCAGAAAAATCTCTTCAGAGCTTTTTTATGGCAGAATCAGGGGAGCTTGAGATGGATATGTATGGTAGTAATCCTCACTTAATTTGTTCACTATGCGACCACAACCCTGAATTTAAGAGTTTTCAAATGTTCTTGACGCATCTCTATGGTACAACACATCAACAGAAGTTATTGGAGCTGGTTCCTTTAAGTAACAAACTCCAACGCTTGAGTGCAGCGCTAGATGAGCCTACTGAGATAAACTATGAGGCTGTGACATTTGTCTTTTGGGACATCAAGATGTGTCCGGTTCCACGTGGCTGTTCTCCTCGCCGTCTCGGTCCGTGTATAAAACGATTTTTGGAGAATCAAGGCTACTCTGGTCCTCTCACCATCACTGCCATTGGCGTTCTAACGGACGTCGATAGTGACATCCTCGAAGGAGTCTATTCCAGTGGAATCGATTTTAATAACACACCTGAATGTTTCGAGTTTATTAGCACTTTGCATTATCTTCTTTCTGGTTTGAAGGATAAGAATCCACCTCCAGCTAATATAATGGTCATCACCAGTGACGAATTCTTCTCATCTAAGTATGCTGTCACACTACAATCTAGCGGATACAACCTTCAGCCAAGTCCATTTGGCTCTCCCTTTTTCCTGGAAGGTTCAGGGGCACTTGAGGATGATAAGTGCAGTTATGAAACGA